GTTAAATATGTAAAGTTTTATATAAAAGTAACCTATCTACACCAGCGCACATTTTTACGACTTGTAACACACAATATCGAAGATAAGTAAATGGGAATGGCACTTAAATATATCCCATTTTGCAAACTCGTAAACCACAAAATCGAAATTTTTAACCCGGCATAGAATACAAATAACCAACTAATAGTTGTTTTGCTTAAAAATCAGAATAGGTAAGAGGGGAGTGTTAGTAGTATACGGCATTGTTAGTGAACAGAAACGACGTTATTAAGACGTTACGACTGAAACAACAAGTACCTGTTACCCCTCACTACTTATACCGTTGATATTCTCTATGTACATCTAGACACTTTTATGAGTCCATTAACTTTTAACAGGACCTCCGGGATGAGGAAGAAGGAAGCTGTAGTGCTTGCACAGCATCAACTATTGTATGCGTTATCGTTGGAAGCCATAAAATTGTCGTGGTGTACAGAGAAAAAGTCGCTAACTTCCCCCGACTAAACTTTTATAGAGAAAGTATATATATATATATATATATATATATACTATCGATAAAAAGAGAGAATATTGTGTTTTCTCAGTTATGTGGATTTTCTACGTCTTACAATATCCATTATAACATACGATCTCATACAGCTTCAGTTTTTATTGATGGTTCCGTAAAAATCATCGGATAAAATTCATAAAAGTTTTGTTAACGTTTCTAAGTATAGATTTACATCATACATATGAATATGAGCTATCGAAGAGTATTATGCATTGCTTGGAGCCAGTTAAAAAGTTTCCAGTAGATCAATAAAAAGTATTACACTCCACCCATATTCTGTGAATGCGTATCGTCTGTGATAAAATCAATACATTTTCTCCGCCCAATTTTTATATTTTAAATAATATTCGTTGCTTAATAAAGCTCCGTGAATACGTATCTTGCTTACTGCATCATTTTTCTTGTTGCATTTTACTGTATATAATAGTAAATTAAAAGAAATTCTGTTAAGGAAACGAAATTTAATGGTTTGCTTAACAAGCCAAGATTTACTTCGACGACAAAGTATATAACTAAATATAAATTTTAATTAGCTAACTAAATAGGAATTTATCATAGACAAATATCAACAAGATCCTTTTATTTATTTATTTCTTTTTTAAATTCTGTAAGTAATATGTTACTTTTCTTTTTTTATTTTTTTAAAGAAAACATCTCATTACTAAAACCGCACACCCATCTGGGATTTAAACGTAAGCCTGAAGGAAATAGTTTTAAAAGAATTAAATCCGAGAGAGACATTATGCATTGTATTAAATAAATTGCATCTTGAAATCCTTAACATATGCATCAAAAGCTCTTCTTTAATTTTAGAATTTCTTCTATTTTCTCTCTCCAAAATGGAAATATTATCTCCTGGATTTAGTTCTGATAATATAAATTTTTATAGAATACTTCTGTATATTTTTCGGCTGCAATTTTCAGATTGCAGACCTGTACATTCACACTTCCGCCCGTCCTTCGTTAATTTCGATAATGGAGTTAGATGAAAATCGAGGCCAGATATCCCCATATCTGGCCTCGATTTTCATCTACCTAACGAGAACAAATATTCCAATATCTGGCCTCAATTTCCATCTACCTAACGAGACCAAACATTCCAATACCTGGCCTCGATTTTCATCTACCTAACGGGATCAAATATTCCAATATCTGGCCTCGATTTTCATCTACCTAACGAGAACAAATATTCCAATATCTGGCCTCAATTTCCATCTACCTAACGAGACCAAACATTCCAATACCTGGCCTCGATTTTCATCTACCTAACGGGATCAAATATTCCAATATCTGGCCTCGATTTTCATCTACCTAACGAGACCAAATATTCCAACACCTGGCCTCGATTTTCATCTACCTAACGAAAACAAATATTGCAATATCTGGCCTCGATTTTTATCTTAGAAATCGTAGGCCTGGATTAACTGACTATATACGTACTTCTGGACAGAAAATCGTACGATTTTTTAAATTAAGAGGTGATTAAAAATTGCAGCCCGGTATTGTGACGATGCCACAATAATTTATATTGATAAATTCGATTTTCGTGGGTAATAATAATTCTTAAAATTTATTTATTTATGAAGTTGAAATTTATAAATTAATTATAAAATAAATTAAGGTAGCATTTACACCAAATGAAATCTCTTAATCACTCTTAAACATTATTTGCTATAGTTGTGTAATGTCAATATTTGGATTGCATTAAGTAATTAAAACTTTTAAGAATTTTCAACAAGAGGTACACACTTCAAGATTTCTTTTTTCTTCCTATTCCCTATTAAGTGTTATATACAGTACTAAATTTTATTAAAACGATAATCCATTTAAAATATATTAAAGTTTAATTTAATGATTTCAAGGATTATGATCTGAAAGATTTAAAAGGAATCTCTCCAAATCCGAGTAGATAAACACGTTTCTTTATATGATGGTGATGATAAAATAGTGTGATTATTATTTTTATTGATTTTCTTGAACATTCATAACTGAAGCAGCATTTAATTAGTAAATTATGAGATTACTTTCTCCCGTTATGTATAAGATTTTTTACATTTTTGGACTGAGGACACCTTAAAACGTCGAGAAGTGCAAAAAAAATTCCGGGGTTTTACTGTATGTATGGATGTTAGTGTGTGTATGTGGTCGCGATTTTGTTCACCCTATTTGAAACTTAATAACTCCTCCTAAATTTTTGTCGAAAATTTCTGAAATTTTGCAGGGAGGTTTGAATATTATGGGGAGAGATGCTATTAGATTTCAGTGATTAAAGATCGAGGGGGTGAGGAGATAAAAGGGTTCGCGTGTATCTCCAGTAGGGTCGGACTTAATGACGATTTTACTCGTTATTAGCATTTATAATATATTTTTTTAATATAAAACTCATCTCTACCTTCAAAATTAAGCTCTTTTTTTAAAGCCATTTTATAATAATTAAAAATGTACAAGTTTTTAAAATAAAATATCAAAACAGATGGCGCCACCAAATGTCTCTGGGAAAGTTAAGCAACTCGTTGCTGGATTTTTTTTTTATTGTCTTTCATAGATCTAGATCAGTGGTTCTTTACCGTGGGCTGGAAAGATACTATATGCTTTTTCTATTTTAATAAATGTATTTTTATATAACTGGTTTCTTTCGTAATTTTATTTTATTCACTTAAAAACGTTATTCCGAGTGGGGATTCGTGATCCTCTCCTGACACCAAAAGGGATCCATGGAATAAAAAAAGATTATAGAAAATAATCTAGATAAGTATTTCTTATTCTTCAGAGATGACCTTTATCTCCGAAGAATCCATTAGTAAATTTTTCATAAAAAAATCTGGTAGTAAATTAGCAAATTTAGATGCAAATTTTCCGTTTTATCGAACCATACTAGGAAGAATTTAGGTGTCGCCTTTGGTATAATACAAAGAATTTCTTAAGTACATCTTATGAAGGAGATCAAAAAGCCCTTGTACAACTGCATTGTATCGTAACTAATATAAGTGTATAGCGACTGTTTAATTATCGCGTGTAACCACGAACCGAACATATTTAATAAATTTTAATCAAATCATCTCAATAACAAATGAATAACTTTCATAGAATGATGATAATGCTTTCTTGGAAAATGTGCATGTAAGAAAGTTGATTGGGTGATCAAGAATTATTAAAATTACAGTATAAATAACATAGGATGACCGTAAAACATTCACGACGAAATTTCCCTAAAAATCCTACGAAAACACAAATAAATACCAGATTAAGAAGTAACAATTACTATTATCAAGAGTGTAAAAAAATATACAGGAAAAAAATACCGCCGTAATAAACAAATTGCTTTAATAAAAAATGGATTTTAATGCTTTAGCGAGAATTAATCTAATGATAAATTATAGAAAAGTTGGATAATAGTTCTGCATTTTAATACTTTCAAGAGAATAATCATAATTAAGCAAAGTAGAAATTATTGGAGAAGAGTAAATGATCATTACTGTCGATAAGTAAAAACGCGAAGAAGAAGAAGAAAGGGGGGGTAAAAGGAATACAAGTCTCGTGTACCATAAAAAGCTTCCAATGAAAATTCCATTAATTGCACAAAGGAAACACAAAAACAAAACTATAAAAAGCATCTTCCTATTTGAAACTATCAAAAGGTAGAAGATATTAATGGACAAGTGAGAGAGACTCTTACTTTTTTTAGTTTTTGTTGAAGGAATCCGTCTTTCCTCGCGTATTACAACCTATAAAATGGATTTTCTTGGTCTGGACTAAAACAGATGGTAGATCTCTCATGCTATCTCAACTTTAACTTTGCCTCTATTTTTCCTCTGTCCAACTGTATTTGTTGGTCTGATAGAAAGTGATTTCGATCGAAAATCTGGCAGGTGGCTACGAATTTTTTAAGAGAAACGACAGCAAGAAGAAGAAAAGAAGTAGAAGAAAACTATCCGTACATCAAAGAAAAATTTGTCTTTTTATCTATTCTGAATAATTCGGTTTTATAATCTGAACCTTTTTTCTTTTTTTCTCCCCCTTCTTAAATCCTGCTTTATCCAAGGAGAAATTAATTTGTTTTCCTTAAAACTGTTTCCTTTTAATATTTAAACTTGCATAGATATTCACAATTGCATCTGTAGCTGGAATAAATTTAAATATTTCACACTATATATTAATATTTACAGAAGTTTCCTGATTAAAAAAATATATATATATAATATTTTAAGTATTTAATCCGAGTATTTTCAAGGTTAATAACTTTTAAATTTAAGAATTTCTTTCCTTCCTTCCTCCCTCCTAATTATTATTTATAAGCCATAATAATTGCTTAAATTTATAATTTCTTATCGAGTTTTCTACTGTATTTTCGTCGAAATTACTTTAAAAATACATTTTATTTTAATAATTAAAACGTAAATATACTTTTCATACATTTTAATTTCCTTTTTTTTTTCTCCCCCTTCTTCAGGTAAATTAAAGTGTGGTCTAAAATCCGGGAAAAAAGGCCATGATAATGCGTTGAAAGTGGACATTAATGCGTGGTTAGGTAAGTTTAATGTTGGAAAAGTGACTTTAATTTCTAAAATGTCGACACTAATGCTCAAAATGTTAAATTTGAATTACGTGGGATGAGTTTAACGCTTATAAAGCCACTTTTTTTATGTACAGGAGAAGTCCATAGAGAATTAATTTTAAGGCATAAAAAAACGAACTTTAATGCCCTATACGGTTAAATAATGAACACAGTCGTGTAGTAAAATTACGTCTTAAATTTGTAATTAAATTATTTTCAACTACACATTTATAAACAAGAGAAAAGTCTTATTATTTATTTATATTAATTTGTATTTTTATTACAAGAACGAAGAAAGTTTCCAGGAAAAAAAAACCTGTATCAAGTTATTAAGTGGTAAATTCTATACTTCCACGGCAATTTTAGATATAATTGGGCTTGCAAATCGTCTGTCTGTCTGTCTGCCTGACTGTCCTTCGTTAATCTCGAGAATGGAGTTAGATAGATGAAAATCGAGACCAGATATGAGAAGCTTAAGAAGCCCAGATTAACTAGGCCCACGTGTGAACTTCGTCTGGACCGGAATTCAGGTGATTTTTTTTTTAAAAGTTAAAGATAATTCTTACAAATATCTGATGCAATTTTTAAAATTCGTTGGAAACCTGTAAACTCGCAGTATTGGAAGAGCAGAAATGTCGTATCCTCTTGTATACACTACAATTTACGTATTCAATTAACGTAAACTGTTAGAAGTGTATAATAATCAATCACGTAAAATATAGTATTTAAATAAACATCGATTATACGTCTAAATCTATAGAATAGTCTTTGGAAACGAACAAATTAACTTTTAATTAAAAGATATGAGAAGCGATTCTAGATGGAAATTGACTAAATAAAGAGGGTGGCCCAAAAATCAGTTAACTGTGATATCATTTGAAATGGCATGGCTAAAACAGACAAACTAATGGTTTAGAAATATGCAACAAAAAGTAAAAAAAAAAAAACGTTGTAAATTGTATACGTTTTTTCAAAATTAAGTTTTTACAATGGTTAACTGATTTTTGGGCTTATTTGCTGGTAATTAAATTTAGTAATAATATGAAACACTTCCGAAAAAACGGATTTAGTTAAGTAGTGTATGTTTATGCAAGAAATCTATCGTCTAAAAGAATTTAATAACAAGGAGAAATTGTTTATTATGACACTGTCACAATGCCGAGCTACAATTTTTAATCATATTTAATTTAAATTATATGCTCTTCACCTCAAATTAGTAGCGTCTTGCCCCCTGTACTGTACACCATGCTTTTCCTTTTAGCAATAGAGTCATGCCAGTCACGTATCAAACTCCTTTCAGGGGAAGTTTTGAATTGAAATATTGTTAACAAAGGCCTTCTGCCTCTACTCCTTCCAAATCTGCTCTCGACTTTCATCTATCTAATACCGTTCTCGAGATTAAGGAAAAACAGACAGACAGACAGACAGACGATGGGAATTTACAGGTGTACTGTACGATTTTTTCCAAATCGCAGCCCAAGAAATTTAAGGTGTAAAAAAGTTGCTTTAACCTTATAAGGGTTATTTTATTGCACACAAAAGGCAGCATTAATGACAAGAAGGTCATCGTAACGCATAAAAAACAAAAAAAAAATGGCATTAGGAATTAGAAAAAGAGTTTAAAACCAAGAAAAATCGATAGGTTAAAGAAAAAATAAATAAATAAAAAAATTCTTCTAAAATTGTTTGCTTTTTCACCGTCTCTCAGATTATCTTCAGAATGACTAATAATCCAATTTAGAATTTTTTTTCCTTATATATATTTATATATAAAAATTAAATTCCTTATCCAAGCAAAAATACTAAAATGCCACGACTTATAAGAGAAAATTAATTCTGAAACGAGCATTTATTTTACAGCGAATTCCTCCTTTCACAAAATATAAAAAAAAAGGGAAAGAAAAGAGAAAGAATAATTGCCAGAAAGAAGAGGAAAACATGCTAAAAGTAATATTGGAATTTACTACAAACAATATTTGAGAATGAAACTCATGATAAATGTTAGGATGAAATATTTCGAATGCAACAGATTATTCATTCTGAGCACTTTTTTCTTTTATTCTACACTAAAACTGTTTTTTTTCCTCTCTTACAGATAAGAGAAGAAGGGAAAGAAAAGAAAGAATATATATGTATGTAAACCGCATAATTTGGTATGTCTTTAGTATTACTTGAAGAAATTTAAATGTATTTATTTTAAATATATATATAAAATTTCATATTAAAACCGAGTCGGTTCGATTGTTACAAGAGGAAAAAAGAAGAGTACTTACAGACGAAGATACTTTTTAAATAGTTATATTCCCATTGAAACTATTAAATTACAAAAATATCAGCGGGCTAAATTGAATTTTGAGCCTTAAAAATTTGTTTTTCTCAAAAATGTATTGTTTTTTTTTAACTATTAAGCCCGAGGAAAAGATGTAAAGTACATTCTGGTTTCGCTATTTCCAGATGGTAATGTGTGAGATCACAATAAACAATTTTAATAGGAAAATTTCATTCGCCACTGAATATATATATTATTTTCGTCCCTCTCCTTTCTGTTTTATCTTGCTTCTGGCAATAATTGAGACTATAAAAACCAATACCGTTTCACAAAAGAAATAGATTTTAAATAATTTCTTCAGGTTTCAAACACGTCAAAAAGGATGGAAATTAAGTAAAATTTTTATAATCGATAAGTAATTTCCTAGTAAAATAAAGAGAAGACTATGGCACTTTTCGTGCTCAGTTAAAATTATATACAAGTTGTTTTATGAAGAGAGAATAATGACAATAGAAGAAGCGAACACTGAAATATTTAAAACTCTTTGAATAACCGAAATAAACCATCAGAAATTACAAGAGTAATGCGTATTGTGTGGAAAATAACGTTTCGAGAGCCAATTAGAAACAAACCGAGCGAACTATGTCACGTTATTGTCGTCTTACTTTGTCGTGACGATTGTAGACTAAATTAAGGGATTTATTGGAAGTCTCGACTTATTATTCTTTGATGATTTTTTAGCGTGCATGCACTAACGAATTCGTAGAGGATTTTCTGTTAATAACGGAATGCACGTGAACTAAACTTACCTGTGCCATTTGGAACCAAGTATTTCTTTCTTTTTTTGTTGCTTACGTACGTTTATCTAAAACACCATGTTTAGATGAAGAAAAAACGTTTAATATAAAGCTAAAAGTAGTAATGTTTGCCTGATATTTTGTTAATCACTAAAAAAAATTGTTATGTCCTTTTAATTCGACATTCACCAGAGGTCAAGAATTGTCTTCAGAGTGGTTCTTGACCTCTGGTGAATGTCGAATTAGGACATTTGTTTGTTTATAAAACCCCTTTTTAGTAATTACCAAAATAATCTTACTTTTTTGGCTGTTATATAACAGAGAGAAACTACAGTATGTCTCACTTGTTAGTCATAAAATTAACCCTGGATTTTTTACATTTTTGGACTAAAACGTAGAGAAATACAAAATAAATTTGGGCTTTCTGTATGTATTGATATTTGGGGTGTACGATTTTGTTCACCCGCTTTACAGCTTAATAACTCCTGTGCTTTTTGTCGAAATTTTTTGAAATTTCGCAAAGACGTTTGTGTATTAGAGAGGAATATTTCTAGAAATTTTCACGAAAATCGGACCACTGAACACGACAGTTTAATTAATTGTAATTTAATCTTTGGACTTGGGCCATTTTATAGCTGGAAGTAATTCCAGCTATAAAATGGCCTAATTGTAATTTAAATCCTGAAATTTTTTATGTAAAATTTGATTCCATAAAGCCAGGATGAGATTGAAAAATCCGCAAAGGACATTTTTATTCATTTCATATGATAATTTAATTAAATTATTAGAACGAAAGAATCCAGCAATAGAGGCAAAGAAGAAGCTTCAATATGGAGAAAGTTTGTAACTTTCTATTAAATATAGTAACCAGTTGTGGCCAATGTAAAGATGTTATCGGAACTGAAAATTGCCACGAATTATTTGTTAGTTGCAGCTATTAATCTAACGTATCTTCTCTCTCTTATTTACTGCAATAGGACGTTACTTTCTTTTTAAAACAGATCAAATTTCCGGTGATAAACCCCAAATGGCAAACATTAATTTTGCAATAACAATAATATTATTNTTTTATTCTACACTAAAACTGTTTTTTTTCCTCTCTTACAGATAAGAGAAGAAGGGAAAGAAAAGAAAGAATATATATGTATGTAAACCGCATAATTTGGTATGTCTTTAGTATTACTTGAAGAAATTTAAATGTATTTATTTTAAATATATATATAAAAACATGAAGATATATCATTAAATTTCTGGAGAACACGAATTCATTTCCGATTTTTAATCAGATAAACACGTAAAGAATGGGCAGAAAGAATACCTTAGTTAAATTAATTACTAGAATCAGTAATACTCCAGAGTATTACTTAAAATGTGGAAAAGCAACACACAAAGAACCATTATCGTCTCCTGTAGGAAACGATTTGTTCTCTTCACCGGTTGCTTGTTGATGTTCCTGGTACCAAAGACCATTTCTCATTCCTTCGCCAAAACCCCAGAATTATTCTAATCAATCTGAATGCGGCCTAGATATAATTAATTGATTTTCCTTCTGTTCTCCCTTCTACTTTAATAAAAGCTTCTGATTAATCACTTGGTCGAGAAGATAATACCGACCGAGTTGATGAACGTTTTAACCAAAGTTTATTTCTGATAAGATATTATAAAGTGCCTTTATACTTTTAAAAAATTCTCTACTTATGAGACTAAGTTCGGTTTTCAATGAGAATTTTTATATTTTCACACTCCAATTGTAATAAAACTACATGCTTAACTACTAAACCGAATATTTTCAAGGCTGCAATTTTTAAAAAAATTGTATACTTATAAATTCCCATTGTTTGTCTATCTGTCTGTCTTTCCTTAATATCGAGAATAGAATTAGATAGATGAAATTCCAGACCAGACATGGAAATATTAACTATACGATATACGAACTTTTGGTTTAGACCGGAAGTCACATGATTTTATTTTAATTCAAAAATTTTACCCAGGACGGAATTAGAGATGATCAGCATGACTCTATTGCTAACATGAAAAGTATTATGTATACAGGGGCAAGACTACTAATTTGAGGTGGAGAGCATATATTTTAAATTAAATAAATTAAAAAAAAGTATGACAATCAGTCAAAATGTGACACCCCCAAGACTCATATTTTTTAACTAGGAGACTGCCAAAAAAAAGTCTGGGGTTGTTTTTTCTTCCTTTATGTATAGTACATTTGTGTGGGGTACTTTTATTCACCCATTTTGAAGCTTAAAATCTCCAGTGCCTTTTGTGGAAATTTTATGAAATTTTGCAGGGAAATTTGGATATTAGGAAAATTGATGCTATTAAATTTTGGTGGTTAAAGGTCAATGGGGTCGGAATTAATGAAGATTTTACTGGTTATTAGCGTTTACAATTCATTATAAAACGCATCTATACCCTGAAAATTAAGTTTTTTTTGCCGTTTTATAATAATAATATGAAAAGTTTAAAATAAAATCTCAACAGATGGCACTACAAACAATTTTAACTTTTTTTGCCGGGAAAGTTATGCAACTTGTTGCTGGTTAACTTTTAATATCATATTTTAAATTATTCGTAATACATTTCTTTTGAAAGAACTTATGTTTTTCTATTATTTTTTTAAATACTTAATTATACGAATTTACTAATGCATCTTTAGTAGATGTATTATTAGATCCATAGCGTGTATTCACCCAGCATTTACCTTCACCCGTTAAATCTGTGACTAGAAACATTTATAATTTTCGAAATTATTTACATTCGTAATCGTTTCTTACATTGTTTACTTTATTAATAAATTAATTATTTAAATATTTTATTTTCAGAAGAAAACAATTAATTAACTGAATATTCGTCAAATCTGTCATAAAAGGTAAGTACTGTTTTATACTTATGACATTTATGTTAATTAAAAAAATACTATCCTTACACATGTTCAACCTTATCCATAACATGAAACTAGTTTAATACAAGTCTTAAATGTTGCCTAATAATAGTAACCAGTGTTAAAAAAACACCCCTCATATACACTAGCTTGAACTGAAAACTTCTTTTATTGTAATGCCTGATAAATGATAATGCCAGTTTTTTTTTCAACCAGCGCAAAACATTTATGTGAAAAATTGATGTTTCTAATCGATCCTAAGGTGATATAAATGAACCTTTAATCGGTAACATTCATTGTCCACAAGACTGAATAGAAATGGCAGCAAAATACATTCATTAGCAGCTGAAAGTTATTATCTGAGGTAATTTCAAAACTCCAACTAAAAGATGAAAAAAAAAATTAAATACGTATATATAAATTTATATTTAAAAACGAAACTCATTAAAATATACAGTAAAATAATAAAATTTGTTCGAAAAAATTTTAACGAATAGATAACGTAACGAGTATATAATTGAAGAAAAAGAAATTAAAGTTTTTGGATTTTCTTTAATTATATATATATCCAGTTTTCTTAACGATGGGATATACTTTATCATTTAAAACTTCTACATAATGAATTCATCTTATATAGGCCTATATATACATATTTAAGTTATAGGTTGTTATATAATAGTGATCATTATTGCAAATTTAAAATACCCTTTGCCCCTGTACATCAAATTTTTTCTGATAACAACAGAGTCGTGCCGGTCAGCTATGCAACTCCGTTCTGGGGGAAGCTTTTGAATTGAAATGACGCGACTTCCGGTCCATACCGGAATTTATTCGGGGCCTACTAGCCATAATCTTTCCATACCTGGTCTCGAATTTTATCTATCTAACATCGTTCTCGAGATTAAGGAAGAACAGACAAACGGACAGATTAACAGTGGGAATTTTAGAGGTATATAATTTATTTCAAATTGCAGCTCAATTACCCTTATCTTTCATACAACATTAAATTCAGGCATTGAGTCGACATCATTTACTCATTAAATTAGTATTTTCTTGTTTTATTATAAACAAAATTTTCACTTATTTACTTGTTTTTCCGATTCTCTGCGGTTACAGACGTTTCAAAATCACTATTATTGATTACAAACACGGAAATACTTAAAGTATATTATATGTATTGTTAGGAGTAAGCATGAGATTACTTGATAGAATGCATGCAAGCTTTGTACATTTTGTGGATTATACTAAACCTATAATAATTATTTGTATACTAACAATACAATTGTTTAAATTAACAATGTATACAGGTATTTTAAGTATATTTATACAATAGATTTTCCAAGTATAAAACTTAAAAAAGAAATGAGGATTTTTAAGAAGAACATTCATTTGCTTTACTGGGAAAATGTTTTCTCATCGGCGCTATTGAATCGTTGTCATGGAGTAAATAGTTTTCTGGCAAAGAATGTTGAACAACTTCAACTTTTCGAAATTCAATTAGTCGGTAGCCGAGAAAAGCCTTTTATAAATCTCTAAGTCGTTGTAAGAAAAGTTAGCAGTTAGTACAGCATTATCGGTGACACTTTAAGAATCTTCTTTATAGATCCTCTAATTAATCCCAAATAGGTTTCTTCAAAGTCAAATACTACATTGCAATGAATAATATTTGTTTAGATCCATTTCATCAATCGAAACTCGACTGTATCAAAGCTTCAACAGCGAGTTAGCGTTAAAAATATGGATTAAAGAGCGAGGAAAATTTTTTTTTCTTCTTCTTCTACTTCTATAGTCTTTAATCTGGCAATTTTATCTTGATTTGAAAATATTTGTCAGTGAAGCAGTTAGAGAAAAATGGAGATTGGAAAGAAAGAAAGAAAGAAAGAAAAAAAATCATAAGAGATAAAATGACAAAATGATTAATAGCTTTCTTTTAATAATGATGCTTTTAAATCAAACTGGCAACTCTTATGAAGGAAATAATAATAAGTTACCTATGATATTTCTTTTTAGAAGAAAACTGTTAGTGAAAGAAAGGGAAAGTAGACAAGAACATCTGGAATCATTGATAGGAAAGGAATTTGAATTATGTTCTGGAACATTTATTTTCATTGATGTTTCTCAAAAAGTAAAAGGAATTCTACTTCTTTTCTTTAAATTGCAATTGTGAAATGTTATCTCTGGGATCAAAATCCAAAGATAAATATGTTTTTCTTTTTTTCTTCTTCCCACCTTTAAGAATTGTAAGAATCTATTAAAAGACGAATTGTTTAATAAAATTAAATAAATTACATACTTTTTATCACTAAACCATCTTTAAAAATTAAAATAAATATATATATTAATAAAATTGTAAAGGAAGTGGGAAATAAATTAAAGTTTAATTTAAGAAATAGGAAAAATTTGTGGAAAACTTCGAGTTTAAAATTGAAACAGTTTAACAATTTTTCATTATAATTATATTTATTTAAGAATCTGCAAATGTGTATTTTTCTTTCCAGTGAAATAAAATGCCTGGGGTTCTCCACATTCAATGAGATGCTCTTTAGTAATTTCAGTTATCAAGTTACTCAACTATAGTTGTGTACAACATTACAGGTAAGACTGCTCTCCAATAAAGATTAATCATTTTTCCCTCCTCGGATGACGAAATTAAATATTCCAGAATAATAATAATAATAATAATAATTTTGTGTTATTTACTTAACAGACTATTCGAGAATATCTGTTATGGAACTGATGGAAGAGAAGATCTAGAAGAGAAATAACGGAGATGTGGTAAGTCTAAATTGATAATTGCATGACTAGTATTTATTAATCCAGAACAGAAAAACGTTACATACAATATAATACTGATATAGTGAATTACATAATTTATCAATGTTAATACAGCACACATATATGGAAAGAAGAGAGATTCTATGGAAAACAATACAATATTCGACAATGGCGCTTGTATATACAGTAATGTAACAGCTTGTACTGTATATATGTATATATAGTATATATTGATAAAGTTTTTTTTTCAGTAGGAACACTGCACAATAAAAATTTTGTAATTTCAACAACCGATCTACACCAATAAACAAATATAAACGATTTCATTTATTTACACATCACTTAAATTAAAGTATTTTCGTGACGAGTATTGTAGATATGTGAAAGTAATGGAATAAGGAGAGGGAATTTTTTTTTTTAATGTAAAATTAGAGGGACTCTGGAAATAAAGTGGAGGAAAACATTATTAATGGCGTCTAAGATAAGAAAAACAGAATTTTTGGGGAATTTAAACCACGCCGAGAATGTCATTTCGCACAAAATACCACCTCGCACCGTCTCACTCTAGCAAGCAAAGGTGGGAAGAATGAGGTCACGTGTTGCACACGAACCGTAATACTAATCGATGTTAACATCGCAAGCCTCTATCACCATGGAAACGATTCCATCAGACAATTTTCTCAGTGGGTGCCCAAACAGCTTGATACAGTCCAGAATGCAGACCGCACATGGAGTACTGATCCATGTTCTCTTCAAGACCCGAGGCGATGCCTCCTAAATGAAATTTTTCTAATTCACTCACTCAAGAACCTTTGCTTTCAACTCGAAACGTACAAGTGAAGTTATTAGGAATTAGTCTCCCACGACTTCTTTATAGAATCAAACCGGTCACGTCATCTTTGATGATTTCGCCAATGTGTATTAGTAGTCACGCAAACAGTTCGTGATGTGCGTGATAATCTTGTGACGTATAATCTCCCTCCACATAAAAGTCGACAGGCTAAGAATCAGGATTTTTTCCTTATGCTGCTAGACTTTAGATAAAAACTAGAATTGTACACAACAGGAGGCGAGAAGAAAAAAGAATCTCCATCGAAATAATTGCATACCTTTCGTAACACGTCAATAGCACTTTCGAGAGGAGTCTGGGTATTTTTCTTTTAGTTCCGTTTTGAATTGTCTGAACAGTATTCGATTCTTTTCCTGATCAGATTCCTTGTTCTTGTGGAAAGAGGTGGATGTCTTCAATCCTTGATGGACTAGAAAGGCGTTATTCAGTACGGAGAATTTATATCCAGCTACATGCAGTTCACATACCTGAAAAGAAAAGAAAAATATATATAAATTCAGTCTAAACTTGTACGTCCATATCATAAAACCAATTTGTGTCGAAAAGTGCTCTATGATATAATTTACTATCGATGTTTCCGACATATTGATTCTTAAAGTGAGAAATTCGATTCACAATTTATACTAAGTAACTTGCTAAAGTATACTTTCGGGGATGAAGAGCGGCGCCCGCAGACTATGAAAAAGATGGGCAAAAGCTATAAAAAAACGGCATCGTACAGTATGCAAGGAGCTTCAAAGTCGGATCAGCGCTTCAACAAAATGGCGCTGGTTGCGTTAGGCCTCGAAAACAAGGAATGGGGTTCTGGTCAACAAATACCGTTCATTATTTTCTTTTATAGGCTAGAAATCACGGATTTTCTGTTGTTTGGGGCCCTCTTGGGGATTAGGAAAAGAGGACACGTTACCCAATGTACGGGCGTACATGGACACGAGCTGAAAATTACACATTCTGTCGCATCTTGCAAACAGTATTTGCGATAAAGTCACGTCTTTCTGTACGCTATCGTAAAGTAGTTTCTGTTGGAAAATCAGTATAAAGTTGAGAGAAAGTGATCGATTATGGGAACTATCTACAGATACTCGTTGATTGCCGCTATCAAAATCTGGTCCAAAATTCTCTCTTAAATACTTTAGCAAACGTATAAATCACGCAACTATCTACTAGAATTTATAATGCGAATTAGAATTTTTAAGTTGGACAAATTAATTTTTCAAGATTTAAAGCCGGTGCGATTACAAAAGATTCGTTAATATAACAAACTGTTTAGTGGTTAAATACCTTACATTTATCCTATTAGCATTTAGTCTTAAATAATTCAGCTTGTAATTAAATTATAAAATTTAAACTAAATAGGAATTCGGAATGCAAGTTACTATCCGTTGAACATCATAAAGTATCAAAAATTTACTTCAGCATTATTAAACAATGTAGAACAACAAACTGCATCATCATTAATCGCTGATGTCGAAGGACGACTAACCGAGGGTTGGCAGCACTTTTATTGACCCTCTCTGCATTAAAATGGAAACCAAAGAGGTAATTGGGGTGCAGTTATTCGTATGGGTCGATGAGATATGAATATTTATTCGCTGATAAGATAACCGCATAATAATGAATTTATTAATTACGAATCTGTGTGTGTGTGTGCCTGTCTTGTAGACTCGACCATCTTCTTCTTTCCGGCGAATTAAATGGGTTTTTTACGCGAGAAAAAAAAAGTTGTAGAAACTTTAAGTATCAAACTTAAAGGAGCTTTCAACAGAAATATATCAGATGCAACATAAAAATATAAGGCAAACTCTCCGATGCATCTCGTAGGATGAGGTAAAGTATCGAGTAAAACTCCAATGACCTGCAGTCGACAGAATTGAAGCGGATGATGGCTAAAGCATAAGGCCATTCGGATGAAATTTGTCAAATGTTGCTAGGGATAATCTTGGTTGCCATGGCAACCGTCACCACTTAGAAAATTACCCGGAGCACGAAGAGCAAAGACTTGGTTCGGATGATTACCAGGTTAACCTAGTCGACATCGACAATTTACAACCTTTGGTGCAAGTGACAGCTAAACAGAAGGAATAAATGCGAATTCCTAAAACTATCGTGTTTCTCCAAGTTAATAAAACAATAAATCTTTACTATAAGATGTTAGACAGAAGAGAATTAATTTTAACCGAGGACTTTTATGTATTAATTGAAAGGGGGCTTTGTTGGCGAAGTCTTCTGTCAAGAACGAACGATAAGATAATTAAAATTTTCGTAAGGGCATTCATTTTAATACATATATATATGTACATATACGTAGATAGATACATTTAACAAATCACTCGACGAATCAGTCAAGCTTATAATTAAACAATCCATTTTAAGGTAGAGCTCGTGTAATTTATTGCGCTTAAAGCATCTTTCAGTCAGAGGAGAAGAGCGGGAGCACATTCGCACATCGTGGTATATAAATTCTCTTCGGTCATACATGCGGGTGGAAGGTAAAAAAAATTTTTTTTTTTTTATTAGGAAAAAAAAAGGAAGTTAGCAGGAAACGTCAAAACCGAAGCTCGAAGAAGCAGCGAGGTGTAACAGCTTCTCCTTTAGAAAAGATTGATTTTACGCCGGAAACACGTGCACGGATGCATTAAGGATGGAGAAGAAAGCAGACACGTAAACATAACATTATTACAAATCTACCAATTGAGCGACGTATCATAAACGGATGCTCAAATCCGCATTTTGTCTTCAAAGAACGATTCCAAAGAAAATATTGAACGGTCTGCATCCCGATACTTTCAAAAAACGCTACTCGTCACATATCAAAACTTATATTAAGCTGAATATATATATAAAATTTCATATTAAAACCGAGTCGGTTCGATTGTTACAAGAGGAAAAAAGAAGAGTACTTACAGACGAAGATACTTTTTAAATAGTTATATTCCCATTGAAACTATTAAATTACAAAAATATCAGCGGGCTAAATTGAATTTTGAGCCTTAAAAATTTGTTTTTCTCAAAAATGTATTGTTTTTTTTTAACTATTAAGCCCGAGGAAAAGATGTAAAGTACATTCTGGTTTCGCTATTTCCAGATGGTAATGTGTGAGATCACAATAAACAATTTTAATAGGAAAATTTCATTCGCCACTGAATATATATATTATTTTCGTCCCTCTCCTTTCTGTTTTATCTTGCTTCTGGCAATAATTGAGACTATAAAAACCAATACCGTTTCACAAAAGAAATAGATTTTAAATAATTTCTTCAGGTTTCAAACACGTCAAAAAGGATGGAAATTAAGTAAAATTTTTATAATCGATAAGTAATTTCCTAGTAAAATAAAGAGAAGACTATGGCACTTTTCGTGCTCAGTTAAAATTATATACAAGTTGTTTTATGAAGAGAGAATAATGACAATAGAAGAAGCGAACACTGAAATATTTAAAACTCTTTGAATAACCGAAATAAACCATCAGAAATTACAAGAGTAATGCGTATTGTGTGGAAAATAACGTTTCGAGAGCCAATTAGAAACAAACCGAGCGAACTATGTCACGTTATTGTCGTCTTACTTTGTCGTGACGATTGTAGACTAAATTAAGGGATTTATTGGAAGTCTCGACTTATTATTCTTTGATGATTTTTTAGCGTGCATGCACTAACGAATTCGTAGAGGATTTTCTGTTAATAACGGAATGCACGTGAACTAAACTTACCTGTGCCATTTGGAACCAAGTATTTCTTTCTTTTTTTGTTGCTTACGTACGTTTATCTAAAACACCATGTTTAGATGAAGAAAAAACGTTTAATATAAAGCTAAAAGTAGTAATGTTTGCCTGATATTTTGTTAATCACTAAAAAAAATTGTTATGTCCTTTTAATTCGACATTCACCAGAGGTCAAGAATTGTCTTCAGAGTGGTTCTTGACCTCTGGTGAATGTCGAATTAGGACATTTGTTTGTTTATAAAACCCCTTTTTAGTAATTACCAAAATAATCTTACTTTTTTGGCTGTTATATAACAGAGAGAAACTACAGTATGTCTCACTTGTTAGTCATAAAATTAACCCTGGATTTTTTACATTTTTGGACTAAAACGTAGAGAAATACAAAATAAATTTGGGCTTTCTGTATGTATTGATATTTGGGGTGTACGATTTTGTTCACCCGCTTTACAGCTTAATAACTCCTGTGCTTTTTGTCGAAATTTTTTGAAATTTCGCAAAGACGTTTGTGTATTAGAGAGGAATATTTCTAGAAATTTTCACGAAAATCGGACCACTGAACACGACAGTTTAATTAATTGTAATTTAATCTTTGGACTTGGGCCATTTTATAGCTGGAAGTAATTCCAGCTATAAAATGGCCTAATTGTAATTTAAATCCTGAAATTTTTTATGTAAAATTTGATTCCATAAAGCCAGGATGAGATTGAAAAATCCGCAAAGGACATTTTTATTCATTTCATATGATAATTTAATTAAATTATTAGAACGAAAGAATCCAGCAATAGAGGCAAAGAAGAAGCTTCAATATGGAGAAAGTTTGTAACTTTCTATTAAATATAGTAACCAGTTGTGGCCAATGTAAAGATGTTATCGGAACTGAAAATTGCCACGAATTATTTGTTAGTTGCAGCTATTAATCTAACGTATCTTCTCTCTCTTATTTACTGCAATAGGACGTTACTTTCTTTTTAAAACAGATCAAATTTCCGGTGATAAACCCCAAATGGCAAACATTAATTTTGCAATAACAATAATATTATTAAAATAATGAACTGTTCAAAGATTTTAAAATTAAATAAAAAAGAAATCAATTATACAAAAAAAAAGGCAAGGAAAAAGTATTTAAAGTAAAGTGATTTATACTATAAACTGGCAATTATTGTTTGTACATCGTAGGAAAGGCATTACTTTCCTTCCAAAGTAGAATTTCCAAAAATAAAACCTGGAAAAGGGGCATCAACTTACCAGCTAACTAATTGCCTATTATTACTATTACAGTAACAATTCTAGATTAAAGGGAAAAGGATAACTTTCCAAAGTAACGAAACCTTTTCAAGTATTGATTAATTCCTTAATTTATCCTTAATTTAATTAGACTATACCCAACAGAAAATCAACTGCAAGAATGAACAATTAAAGACGGATGCAGATCATTCAGTATCAAGTAAAGTAGTGTTTATAGCATCACTTAACATTATTGTAATACTATATAGATAATAAAAAAATATAGCTGAAGATTGTTAGAAAGAATAAGAATAAGAATTTCAAGAATTCTAGAAAAGAGAAATTGCTTTTGAATTTTCGAACATTTCAAGTGAATTATGTATCACGCGATAATACACAATAATCTACTTTAAAATTTTAAACTTTTCACTTGGAAAATGAGAAAAATGAAACTATATAAAAAGATAAGCGAGAGTTTCTGTAAGTACACGTATTACCGAAATGGATTTAGAGTATTTAATT